ATATTTTATACATTGTGACTAAGTCTATGTAATATCTTCTTATGAGAAGAGGTTCTAATTGGAATAATTTTAACCTGTCTTGATATTTGAATTTTTTGTTTCTACATTTTTTAAGGGCGACTCTTGTGTAAAATTTTTGTACTTTTTCTAAAGTATTAATCAAAACTTTTTGCTTAGGGTTCCATAAAGGTGATGCGTATTCGAGTATTGGAAGTACATAGGTTTTAAATAAATTGCCCCAAATTTTGGGATTATAAGTATGTATGATTCTTAGTAGTTGATGACACCTAAGGAATGCGTTTCTAGATATTGTTTTTATGTGTTTGTTAAATGATAGATTATTATCTACTAGTATGCCTAGGTCTCTTATTATACTCATTTCTTGTAAGTGGTGATCTTCTAGCTTATATGATTTTTTTGGATTTTTACTTCCTATATAAAGTGTGAAGGATTTATTTAGAGCTATGTTTAGTCCCCAACCTTTCGCCCATTCAGTTAAAATATTTAGTTTTTCTTGCAAAAGGCTATCGTTTGTTTTATATGAATATGTTATTTTTAAATCATCAGCATATAGTGATGGAGATATATTAGGCCCTAGTCTTGTAGGTAGGTCGTTTATGTATATAGTAAAAAGTAAAGGAGCTAAAATGGTACCTTGTGGGACACCTGAATGGGTAGTGAATGTTTTTGATTTTTCATCCTTAATTCCCACAGAGAATGTTCTATTTTGTAAAAAATTTGTAATCCATTTGTGTATTTTTCCCCTAATTCCATACGTATATAATTTTTCTAGTAAATAGTTTATTGGAACCTTATCGAAGGCCTTTTGGAAGTCGACATAAATTATATCTATATTTTGGTTGTTTATTAATCCCTCATACCATTTTGTAAGTGTAAGAATCATTTGTGTGGTAGTGGACCGTTTGGGGAGAAACCCAAATTGATGTTTTGAGATTAGATCATTTTCCAATAAAAATTTTAGTATTTCTGATGCTAGTATTTTTTCAAAGACCCTACATGTTGTGGAGGTTAGTGAGATAGGGCGATAGTTTTGAATACATGCTCTGTTGCCATTTTTATAAATAGGTATTATTATTGAATTTTTCCATTTGTCAGGTATGTCCCCAGAGTCTAGTGAGTTACGGAATAGTTCGCAAAGTGTGGGTGCCAGGATGTCGTGACAGTTTTTTAGAATCTTATAAGATATGTCATTTTGAGTTGTAGAGTTTTTATTAGGGAGGTTTTTAAGTGTATTTGCCACTGTTATTATGTCAAAGTCTATGTCTTCTAGTGTATTTTTTATATTTAATGTGAATTCTGGTTTTTTATTGTTAGTCCCAAAATTATTAATGAAAATTTCTGAAAAATAATTTCCGAATATTTCACATTTTTCATTATCGTCAAAAATGTATTTATTATTATATAATAGTACTGGGATATTTTGTTTCGATTTTATTGAGTTTTTAATGAAGTTATTAATCATTGATTTGTTGTTTGAAATTTTGGAGATTTTGGAATTTAGGAAGTTATTAATCAGATACTTTGTTTTGTTACAGATTTTATTGTATTCATTTTTCAACTCATTATTGGCTTTATATAGGGTAAAGAGTTTGTATTTTTCCCTAATGGCTTTTCTTATGTAGCGTGGGTATTTCTGCCCAGTGTTTTCTTTGAATGTTATCAGTGGAATATTTTGGTCAATGATTGTTTGTATTAAGTTAAAGATGTTCTCGAATCTAGTGTTAACATTATTTTTAATGTATGGTATTGATTCCATGAACCCAAAATTATAGGCTAATAATGGTTTAATTTTATTTATATTATCCAATGTTAGATTTTTGTATCTTGAAATTACCGTACGTTCTTTACTAGTATTGATATAAAATTTTATCGAGAAATGGTCAGAATTTGAAAAGCTAGGTTCTATGGAGACGTTATTGATTAGATTATTTTGGTTTGTAATAACTAAATCTAGAATGGAACCAGAAATATGGGTAGGTTTTGTAATAAGTTGTTTGAATCCAAAATTCAGAAGAAACTCTACAAACATTCGATCATTTGCTAATGGGGATATATATTCTGTCCAATTAATTTTTGGCTTGTTTATGTCCCCGCAGATGATTGTTGTGGGGGTATAGAATTTAGTAAGTGATTTAATTAGTTTAGTATTAGAAGATTTTTTAAGGTTAGGTGGAAAATAGACACATATTAAACGGATATTTTCATAATTTTTTTTGATGATATCTAGTATGACCATTTCGTAACCAAATTCATTTTCTTTATGAATTTCTACCGTTTTAATAGAATTTTTTACCAACACTAGGACTCCCCCGCCTCTTTTTTTTTCTTTAGTAAGGCGGTTAGACATGAAAACTGAGAAATTGTTATTAAAGCTTAATTCATTGGGTGCAATATTATTGTCTATGATCCAGGTTTCACAAATAAAAATAACTTCGAAATTATGTAAAAAGATAAAATTTTTTAGTTCATTAATTTTTTTGATAATTGATCGGCTGTTAAAGAAAATCGATTTTATGGTTTTTTCCTTATTATGTATTGACGCATCTCGATTATTAATACTTTGATTTAATGGTGTAGAGATTTTTGTACAGGGAATGACTTTATTATTTTTTATATTAGTATTAAATTTATGGCTTCCCTGTACAATATTGTGAGACCCCGCATTATCCTATGAGAGAGACTTACGAAGTTCATTAACTTTTTCACGAAGAACAATAGTATTTGCGTATATTATCCAATCACCTTTATCAGTTAACCTTCTTTGTTTGCATTCTTCTTGTAATAATTTGCGTGCTTTTAGTTGTTCCGGTGACATTGATTCACGAATGTTTAAATTACGGTATGATGGGATTCCCTTGAGTTTTTTACGTTGTTCAGACCATGAGCGGAGTGTAGCCTTCTGAAAAAATGTGGCCGGAAAAAGAACTTTAACTAAAGGTGGAGCACCTGTCCGAGTTGGGTTGTCCTTGCCCAACCGGTAAACGGCTAAGGGACAAATCTCGACCCCCAACTGATCGAGAATACATGTAACATTGTTTTTATCTTCATTTGCCCGAGCAGAAGGAAGCGGATTCGTTGACCGTGGGAGCCCAGAAATAACAATTGATCGTTGCCTTTCCTTTTCGGAAAAATTGTCGATATTTTGACTTGGAAGTTGTTGCTGTTGTGACATATCAGAAATTATGCTAGCTGCAGTTTTAAGAAGATTTCCTAGTTGAGAAATTATTGTACGAGCAACGGGGGAAATTGAAGTATCTCCCTCAAGAGAATCAAAATTTAATTCAGAGATTTGGTCTAGGAATTGCTGTCGTTTTGCAGGAAGTTGCGGGGATGTTGTCAATGGACGTTTGGTAGCTTTATTTGAAGAGTCCATGATAAGAAATTAATTTTAAGTAGAAAAGAAGAATAATAAGCTTAAACTTGGGTAATTAAATTTGGAATATAACAATGATATTATAGAAATTAATTTAAAAGAGGGAAAAATTATACTAAAAGGATTTGAAAATAATTTTGACAGACCTCAAAAATATATTAAATTTGTAATTACTGATGTTCCCGACGAAGATAAATTTACAATTCATGATATAGAATGCACAAAAAATCATTCTGAAAATAACCTTAAACATACAAGCCATTTTTGGCCAGAGAATAATAAACAAATAGTTGCAATTAGAGAAAATAAAATAGTCTGTCCAGAAAATAAATATACAATTAATTATGAAAAAATTGGAGTAAAAAAATTAATTAAGGTAAATTAAAATTATAATATGTAAAAATTTAGAAAATTAATTTTATTTAAATTTAAAAAATTTTTTTTGTTGTGTTTTCTTGCAATTACTTATAATTTAGAATTTTTATTTTACATAAAAAATATTTTTAGAAAGCTGAAGTTGAATGTAAAGATGAAGCAATATTTGAAACTAATGTCTACGAAATTGATGTGAAGGTTGTGAAACAGTTTCTTAGATTCAGTAATTGTAAATTAAATAGAAATGATTCAGAAAAGTTATTCGAAAAAATAAATAAAGAAAAAGAAGCAAATCTAAAAAAGCAAAAATCGAGAAAATTAAAAGGAAAAGTTTCTGAAAAAGTTAAAGAAGCAGGTGTTTTTAAATTAATATTATTTTTAAAAATTAATTTAATTTATTAAAGAAGAAGAAGATTATGCTAATATAACATTAGCCAGTCTTATAAACAAAGATAAAAAAAGAAAAGCAAAAGTACACGTACAAGGTGGAAAATTACTTATGTCCGGAATTTCCATCTCCGGAAATTTTGTCTCCAAAATTTTTAAACTTTATCATCCCGGCGGATATTCGTACTTAGTACAGTGTTTTTAACTATATGATTAAAAAAATTTTTACCCAACCGCAATTCTAAAAATAATCATCTGAATTTCGAAATATTCACCTGCTAAAACCACGCACTTCCAGTCTGCAGTGTGGCCGTGCGCAACATTTTGAGGACTATTGTCATTAAATTAAACATAAGATCTGATAGAAGGAATTTGCAAAAATATTTACTTTTAGAAAACAAGTTATTAATTATGCATAAAATAATATTTTGAACATATTATTAGGTTATTATATAAGCAAAGTATCGTCTAGAAATTTAAAAAAACGTAAAAAAACGTAAAAATAAATTTACTGATTAAAATAATTATTAAATTAAAATAAATTGCTGATTTTGTTTACTCTAAAATGAGCCTAAAGCTCAATATACACAAAAACAAAAGTGCCATTGCGGGTAGCTGGGCGTCCGAAATTTAAAATTGGAGATAAATTTTCCGGAGAAAAAAATTCCGAACATAACAATAAATTTAAAGGTAAAATTTTGGATATTTATTTATATTTATCTGATTAATTTAAAAAATATTTTTATAAAATTATTTTTGGATAATTATTTTATAAATTTTATTTAAAATAATCTATTTTAAAATTTTTAATTCTTATTTATTATTAAAATTATTCAATTAAAAATTCAGAAAATTAAAAAACCTAAAAATAATGAGGAAAAAGATGAGGAAAATATTAAATTAAAAAGCAAAAAACAAAAAATGATTAAAGGTAATTTAATTAATTAAGACCCGTAAAATGTTAACAAATAATTTTAATAATCTTTAATAATAAAATGACATTCAAATAGAATTTATTATTTTAAAGAAAAATCTACTCGAAAACATATATTCTTTTAAAATTTATAGTAAGTGAAATTAAAGAAGCAAATTCTGCCAATAAAAATTCAAAACAAATTGGTCAAGATTCAAAATCCTCTTCCTCAGCTATAAATGAACATCCGAGTAATTTTTTCAATTATTAAATCTATTTAAAATATGGCTGGACACACAAAGTTAACCGAGCAAGAACCGTCTAATTACTGGTTATCTCCAGCCCTATTTTAAATTTGTATTTATTTAAATAAAAATTGTTTTATTGGATAAATTTTCGATGGCATCTTTTAAATTAGTATCTAATACTGTCTCTAATCTCAAATTAATGGATCTTATAATCAATTAAAAAAAATTTTTTTATTTATCCAGAAGAGGGAGCAATAATTAATCCTACGACTGTTAATGAAGAATTAAACAATTTACATCTAGCAGGTTTTTAAATATTAATAAACTATTAAAATATTTTATTTTCTCATAACTTAGAAGGAAGTAATCTACAGCAACAACCTTCATCTCCAAAGCCTGTAGATTGTAAGAAATATTATCGTAAAATATAATATTTTTCTTTAAATAGATGCTTGGCTAATGAATCATGACGTTCCATGCCATTCACCCGAATTTATAGACGATGTATCAAATATTGGAGGAGGAGTAAAAGATTCCGATAATTTACCAAATGATTTTGATGACATTTTTTAAATGATTTAGTAATTTTAATGTGTATTTTTTAAAGCAAACACGAAGGAAGAAATTACCGAAAAATCCATTATTTAAAAAATTTTTTAAATTTGATTAACTTGATTTTATATGATAAATTTTTCAACACGTTGAAGACGTTCAAATAAATTCTCCAAAGCTCAAAATAATAATCTATAAGACTCAAGACAAAAAATCAAAACAGTCCAAAGGTTGACTATAACAATTATAGTCCTTCAGGGATAAAATTTAATCCTAAAAAATCTTGATAAAAACATAAATGTCGAATATAACAATGCCCTAATTTGGATCTCTAATCCCATAATCTTTGATCAAAAAAATAAATCAAAAACCCCGAAATCGCAAAAATGGAATATCTAAATAATCTAAAAATTTTGGAATATATAATCAAAAATGAAATGTTATTTTAAAAAACGAGTACAATTATTTTTTATTTTTTAATTTAAATTTATAATTATTTTTTAATTATTTAAAAAATTAATTCAACAACAATAATCACAAAAATTAAATCAAAAATCTGCAATTCTTTAGTTTACTCAAACAATTCTTTATTGTCCCAATTCAACAAAAAATATATTTTTAAACAAATCATTTCCTTTTATTTTATTATTAAAATAATTATTTTTAAATTAAAATAATTTAATTTAATATTAGGTTGGTGGGGGAAAAAGAATCATTATAGCTTCGATTTCTTCAGAATTACTGCAAAGTTCACAAAATGGAGGGATAAACATTAGTTTTTTAAAAAACGGAATTTTAAAATTATGAATGAAATAAATAAATATTTTTATTTATTTAAATATTATTTTCTTTTTTGTTTTTTTTTCTTTTAAAAATTCAAATTAAATTAGTATTTCCCCCTCCTTCCCACTTTCTTTTAAAAATTAAATTTAATTTTAATAAAAAATTTTATTTCCCACACATTTTTGTGTTATGAAGTTTGCAAATTTAAATAAAAATGTTTTTTAATTTGAAGTTCCATAATAAACAAAAATAAATGATTTAATACACCCACTTATATGTTAATTTAAATTATTTAATTAAAAATAAAAAGTTGCTTTTAAAAGTACAATTTGTGAAATAAAAAAATAAATTTAAAAATTTTAAAGAAATTCACAATCTAGCCGAAATATTCCAAAATTTATTTTATGCCATCAAAAAAATAATACTTGACCTTGATTGATAAATAAACACAGTTGGAACTCTAAAACACTTTCAAGCTAGCGTCGGATTTTCTAATATGTAGCAGTTGAATTCTGACCAAAATAAAATAAAATAAATGGAAATGCAAGTTTCAAAAAACAAGAATAATATGTACATAATAATAATATCGTTGTACGAAAATAATAAAAAATGTTATGACAAACAAGTATTTTAAATCTTTTTTAATCAAAATAGAAATAATTTTTTCACAAAACACCTCTATAGGAAGGAATAGAACCGTTACGAAAAGACTGTACCAAAATCAAACCTAATAATGGGTTAATTTTATTCAATCATATTTTTTCTGCAAGTGCGGACACAACAACCTCAATTTATCAAAAAGTTTCTCTAAAAAAACATTCTCGTTATTTAAAAACAAAAATCATTGAAAAAATACTTTTCTAACAATAAATTCTTTTGTGAAAAATTTTTGTAGCGGAATTGCCCATAAATAAAAAATGACGTGAGGTGATTATTTATTTACCTTCCGTTTTTGAATCATTGCTTATATTGAAAAAAATACCTTAAAAAGTATTATTTGAAAATTACTGAGCAGAAAAAATGTTTCAACATGAAAAGGACAACAAAAAAAGGAAAACATTTGATTACTAAGGATTTTGGATGAGACAAAAAATGTGAGGGGAGGGAGGAGGATATTAAATAGATATAAATATAAAAGGAAAATAAAAATAAATAAAAATAAAAACAAACTTTTATTTTATAAAAAAAATAAATTTATTTTTTTATTCAATTCTTCAAAAATATTTTTAATAAAAAATGTTCTTTTTCAATAATAACGGAAATACAGAATATGCAGAATTGGAAGCAATGCTATTAGCTAATTTCCCTCCTCCTGTATAATTATTTAATTAAAAAACAATTTTTATAATAAAAAAACAAGAATCGAAATCTCCAAAAAATATATTGCCTTTCAACATTCTCTGGGAATAAAAAAACAACAACAATGACTACTAAATTAATTTTATGATATTTTATTGTTTTTTGTGCAATTAATAAATATGTATATTAATTAAATATTATTTATTTTTATTTGTATATTTATTTTAAGAAAATAAAATCTTATTAAATAAGGATTTTTATTTATTTTTATATCCAAATATAAACAAGAATATTTAATTAAACGCAGATAAAAATAAACAATATAAATTTTTTGTTATCTATTTTTAGATTTTATTTATTAAAAATTAAAAATATGTACATTTAAAAATAAAAATAATTATATATTTAGTTATGGACTAAATAGAGTTAATATATCCTTTTTAGGTAAAAAATGTGTAAGAGAAAAATTCAGAAATTTTTGATATTGGTTCCGAATATCTTTTGTTTACATTATGAGTGTAATTAAGAATCGAAAAGTCAGAATCATATATTTAGTATTAATATTAAATCTGTGGATGGTAGAACGGAAGTAAAACAGTTTTTGGAATTTAAAGTTTAAAAATCTTTAATTATTATGAAATATAGAGTAAATGTATTTATTACTAAAATATTTAACAATTTAAAAAAATTAGTAAAATTTCTTTAAAAAATAAATAATGGAAATTTTAACGTTTTTTAGTTAAATAAATTAAAGGTATTCAATTAAATTTTAAATTCTTGTCTAAAATATTTTAATTATTCGTTAAAAACCCCTCTTTTAATTCTTTTTTAGTTCAATATAATCAATTATTTTTTTAATTTCCTTTAAAGTTTAACCGGAAATTTAAAAGAATTACGCAAATAAAAGGACAAAAATAAAATAAATCACTAAGAAAAAAAATTTAATTGACAAAAAAAGGAAAAGAATTTGCAAATAAGGAATAAAAATAAGGGAAGATTTGGCAAAATGTTGATAATTAGTAAGGATGTGTTGCATTAAATGTTTTAAATAAAAGGATAAAGGTTTTTAAAACATCAAATCATTCTCTTAAATATATTCCCAAATAAAATTTAAACCAAAAAATTAAAAGAAAAATGAATAACACTTCATTTTGCGTTGGCGGGGCGGAAGAAATGGAAGCCTATATTTTGGCTAACTTTCCACCTGTAACTTAAATGAAAGGAATATTTGACTACAATTAATTAAATAATTTGAAATAATTGCTCTTCTTTGATTGTCTTCTGTTTGTTTTTCAAATGAATGAAATTAAGGAAAGTAAAAAAATATACAACTCAAAAAACTTGAATGTTGATTGAAAATGAGAATTTTGGTTTTTGAAAATGAAAATAATTTGATATAACTTTAATTAATAATTTTATTAATTTTTGTTGTTGTATTTAATTGATAAATAAATTAAAATATATAAATTGTAAATTATTTAGTCTTTATTTTATTGTTTTTATCAAAAACTAGAAATTTAGAGATTTAACTTCTGATCAGACCACTTTAAAGTTAATAGGTTTTTTCATGATCTTTCAGACTTTTTCTCATGTTTTAGGTTTTTATTATACCTATTTTCAGTTCTCCTCCTTTAAATTGCCAGTCAATCGAAAAACTAATTTTATTAGTTATTCTCCAATTTATCCGATTTTTTACTAACTATTGAAATTAAAATTAATAATTTATATTTTAAATAAGTTAATGAAATAATTATGTTTTTTTTGTTTATATAAAATAATTTTACTGAAAAATATTTTTAATTAAATATTTTTTAACCTTTACATCATTAATTAAATATTAATTTTTTGTTTATTTTCTTATTTTTTAAAAACATATTTTTAAACTTAAAAGGAATGATAACATTTTATTTATTTTCTATAGACATGCAAAAAACATGTGAATAAATACTATATTTTAATTTAATATTGAAAAATTTTTAAATTAAATTTAGGTTACTTGAACCAAAAAATTGCTGGTAAAATATTTAATTAATTTATACTTTAAGATTATTAATAAAAAGGAAGAAATTAATAATTTAAATGACAAAAATTTATTAAAAAAATAAGTGTATTTGACAAAAAAAATTTAAATTATTTCACAAAAATAAATAAAAATAATTATACATGTCTCATAGATTGTTTTAAAATTTTTAAGGAATTCTCTGATCGGAAATAAGGTTTATTTTCAAAAAATATTATTTCATTATGATTCATTGGTTATTGAATTGTTGGCACCAAATATATTTTCAGATGAAATAAAAACACAAAAATGTATAAAAAATATTTTTTGTACAAGGAAGTGATTAATTATTAATTTTTGACCAATCATTGCATTAAAAGAAAAGGAATT